GCTCTCAGGTGCACGCCGAGCAGCCGGGACTCCAGCTGCCCTCGGCCCCACCCGGGCCCGCCGCCCGCGGCCACGCCTCGACACGCCTCCTGGCCAATCGTGGCCTCCTCTGCCCCTCTGACCACGCCCTCGACCCCCTCTCCTTCCGCGCGCGCACGGCAGGCCCTGCCTCCCAACCAATCGCCACGGGGCCGCCTCGCAAGGCCACGCCCCAATGCCTGAGGGGCCGACCCCACGGCTGGGGGAGGTCACGTGCGGCGCGGCTGTCCGCCCGTCCGCCCACGACCCTCGCGGTGCGTGCGTGGGCGCTGGGGTGCCAGGAGTTAACCCCGGGAGGCTTTTAGGTGTGCTGGTGCACCCTCTGCGCTCTCCACCTCCTCGTGTGGGGGCTGAATGAGCCTTCTCGGTTTCTGAGCTGGAAGCCCGGGCTCGCGGAATATACAAGCCGCTGGCCCCAGTGTGGCAGAGGCGAACAGCGCCCGAGTTCGGAGGCAAATCCTTGTCCTCGGAGCTTTCTCAAAAGCCTCTGCATCCCACCCCGCCTAGGCCCGGCGGGCTCCGTGGGAGGGTGGGGCCCTCAGCAGGTCCTGGCTGGTTCCCGCCAGACCTTGGACTTGGTGGGCCGAGACTACTCGCAGGAAATCATGGAGCGGTTTACAGATAAGCCGAAAGTGCAAAGATCAGAGCATGGAGAGCCCGTTAGTCAACGCGTCCACAGCGGTTGCCCAGCTTAGTTTTTCCAGCAACGCAAAAGAGGGCAGCTTCATGCCACAGGAGTCTCTGCCATGGAAATCGACTCCATGTGTCCAGAATAGGCTTTCCGCTTGAGTACACACAGAACACCTGCTCAGGCAGGCTGGACAGGGGACTTTGATCTGAAGAATATGAATTATGGCTGGGAGGAGGAACAGCCAGCTGCTTCGACGGGGCCCATTCCGCAGCCGGATGGACAGGACAGCCTCACCGAGGGTAGGCTGTGACGAAGCAGCCGCAGTTGGACCCTGATGCACCCCAGTCTTTCTTCG